CTGGTTTCTGGCACATGCCCCTTCTTCTCTCTTCTTTTTCCATCTTGCTCCACAATCACTTTCAGGGATGAGCTGCCCCTACAGCTTCACCATTCTGCACCAAAAACTGATAATCCACATTTCTTGTCTACACCCCTTCCTGGAACTCAGTACTGCATGCCCAGCTGGATGCCCCCTTGGTTATCACACACACACACACACACACACACACACACACACCAGCCCTAGGACAAACCTAGCATCTTCCCTTAGTGTTTCTGCCAATTCTGGAACTGAAGTCTTCCCAAAATACCCCTCCCTGCCACCCCATGGCTAATCAGTGAAGCCTCTACACCCAGTCATCCATGGCCCTCACTTGGTCCCTAAGCAACCCTAGAGCTTGGTATAACCTTGCTATCACCCCCAGTTCACAGATGCAGATACACTGGAGGTTCCTGGTGCAGTTTTCAACTGGCCTGGGGCTAGCTTTGTCTATGCCTGTTGGTTTCTCTATTGTCTAAAGTCATAAATTAGATCTGCTGTGATCAAGCTGAGCCTGGGTACACAGCTAGCTCTTCCTACCAGGGACAACTGTAGATGTCCAGCTGGCTCTGAGACTCCATTTGGCAAACGTATCCCCCAGGCTGGTTCCTCCTTGGTTCTGTGGAAGCCTGACCATGATATGGGCAGCCCTGGGCCTGCCTCCCTCCCTTTACTGTACTTATTCAAGTAACAGCCTAGGGATAACCAAGGGCAGAGCTGGAGGTATGGAAACAGGTGGTAGTGAGCCAGTGGGAATGTTCCCATCTGCCAGGTGTGCGGCCTGTCACCTCAGAGCTGTTCTGTCACAGTGGTTGCTGTAAAGCCAGATCTGGACCCCATGTGAAGTGAGTATTCTAAGTGCCACCTTACAGAAAAACAAACAAACAAACAAACAAACAACAAAACAATAACAGAAACAAAACAAAAAAAACCCTGGGGTTCTGAGAGACAAAGCAACTTGCCCAAGGCTATAGCTCAAGCCAAGTTAAAATCAGGGCTGGTGGGCTCATCGGTTGATGTGTTACTTTCAAGTCAAATGTCAAGACAGCTTGTTTAGGGCAATTAAACACTTTTTAAAATAGCTAGTCAAGGGCTAGAAAGATGGATCAGCTAGTAAAGTGTTTGCTGCACAAGGATAGAGACCTGAGTTCAGATCTCCAGCACCATATAAAACGCAAATGTGTACCTGGGACCCAAGTGCTTGGGACATGGAGACAGGGAGGATCCCTGGGGCTTGATAGACAGCTAGTCTAGCCAATCAATGAGCTCTAAATTCAGTGAAAGACTTAGGTTTTTTTTTAATGAAAATAAACTGAATAAATGACTGAGGAGGATGCTTGCCAACTTCCGGCCTCCACCTTCCATATGCATGTGCACGCACGTGCGCGTGCACGCGCACACACACACACACACACACACACACACCACACACACCACATACACGCATATGCATACACGCATATACAAAATAACTCGTAAAATGTAGACATCAATAAACAATAAAAGACTTGGAAAATGCCAAGCACAACCGTCAGTCAAAGATTCAGAGTCTGCAGACACCTGGCGAGACGTGCCCACAGGTCCCCTCTCCGCTACAGCCTCACAAGGGGATTTCCCCAGATCCCAGACTTGGAGAAGAAGCTGCTGCCAAGAGCAGCATCGTGCTCAGTCCTACAGGTGGCAGGTGATGCCTGAGGATGGAAAGCCAAGGCTCTGAGACTCCAAGCCCGTGCTTAGTCCTCTGCAGGACTGAACAGAAAGAACAACAACGAGGCAGATGAGATTGTGGATCAGGAGAGGCTGCAGCTCTGACTGTAGCACCCAGAGTCAGGAGCCAGGCCTTGAAATAGAACTTTATGGAATGCACTGTCCCCAGGATACCCTTTATTATCATAGCTACTATAAAATAGTTACCATCTTAATAATCATTTCACTGTTAATACGTTGTTAGTAATAGCAAGAATGCCAGATAACTTGCCCAAGATCACACGACTGATAAGTATGTGGACTGAAGAAGAAACAGGAAATCACAATACCCATTCAAGTATCTGAGAGGGTGTTTAGATTGCTTTTCTGTTTCTGGATGAAACATCTCACACCAAAAAAAGTTAGAGGATGAAAAGTTTTCTTTAACTTACACTGGCATGTCACAGTCTATCACTGAGGGAGTTCAGAGCAAGAACTCAACCAGAATCTTAAATCAGAAACTATGGAGAAATGCTGCCTAATGGCTTGTTTCTGCTTATACTTAGCTAGTTTTCTTATGCAGCCCAGAATCACCGGCCCAGGGAATGGTGCTGCCCATAGTGGACTTGACACTCCAACATCAATGAACAATCAAGACAATCTCCTACAGACACACCTACTAATTTGATATGGGCAATCTCTCACCTGAGACTCACTTCTCAATAACTTTGGGTTGTGTCAAGTTGACAAAGTAATTGGACATGGACTTCTAAGATCAGGGCCTGAGTGGTGGTCACAGGGCACAGATGAATGGAGGTGGCCCTGGCTGCTGTGATGTTTGAAGCTTAATATGTTCTCAAAGACTGAGAATAGGTACACATATTCTTTTAATGAAAGTGCTGGTGGGTACTGAGGCCTATACAACTACAGTAACATATTTGAAGTTGCTCAGGCAGAAAGGGGTAACATTGTACTCACCTCAAGTCTGCCTGTCTGCCTGAGGCCTTTGTCTTCTGCACCATTCCACACTGTGGTTGCTAAAGACACATGATCCTTCTGAGTCTCTTCTATAAGCCGTAGCTTGAGTCCATTGCGAGACACCCCCATTTCCCTGATCCCACAGGCTAATAGATGGGTGTGAGAAAGGAGAATTACAGCAGAGAATCTGAAAACAACAAAAATGTGCCCAAGGAACAAAGGGGGAGCAGCTGGTGCACTGTAGTGCTTCATTTTGTGTGAACTTGACTAGGCCCAGGGGTGCACAGGTTAAATGTTATTTCTGGGTGTCTGGAACGTGTTTCCAGAGGGAATCAGACTTTGGATTAGTGAAGTTGAAGGAGGTTGGACTCTGTATTGTGTATGGGCACTATCCGAGCTAAACCTGCCTGCCTGCTGGAAATGGCATGTTGACCGTCTTCCTGTCCTTGGACTAGGATTTTCATACCTGTCTCTCCTGGTTCTTCAATCTCCAGGATTTTATTAGAACTACACTACTGACACCCTACATCTATCTCCAGCTTGAAAAGGAAAGATTGTGGGGTTTCTCAGTCTCAATAATTGCACAGGCCAGTTGTTCACTATGAGCTGTCCGTCTGTCTGTCTACTTATCTGTCTGTCTACCTATCTATCCATCTAAATTTATCTTCTATCTGCCTAGTTTCTAACTTGAAAAGGAAGCGTGCAGGACTGCTTAGCTCGCATAATTACAAGCCAGTTGCTATGCGTTATCTTTCATCTATCTTTCTATCTAACTATCCATCCATCTATATCTATCTCCCATTATAACCTTATATCTTCAATCTCTATCTATTTATATGCCTTCTGTCTACATATATTTATCTTTTATTTATATCTATCTTGGGGACTTTAACCAGAAATAATCCCAGAGGTTGGACCTAGGGCATCGCACATGAATACAGCCTCAGGCTTTCGGTCCCTATCGTCTTACTATATCTCCCTATGTTTCATCTGTCTGCACTAATCCTCTGTTGTCTGCCTCTTATCGTCTTCTCTCTATCTACCTGTCTTTTGTCTGTCTCCATCTTTCATCCTTTGTCTATCTCTTATTGGTTCCATTTTGCTGATGAACTCTGATGAATGCAGTGTCCAAAGGGATCAGTCCCAGAGAAGCTTCTCGGAGGAGGTGACAGCTACACTGACTTCCAAGGTGAGAAGCCCTTATCAGCATGAGGGAGATGCCTTGCCAGTGTCTTTATTCCATGTGTGACTTGCTTCCTGCATCTGGGCTTCTTTCCCTCATTCATCATTCTTGCTACATTTACTTCCTAAAAAGGATTTGGGGTAGACTCTAATTTTTAGAAAATGACATATACAATAACAATAGGCCCATTCAGTGGGGGAAGGAGGAAGGGCTTTCTAACAAAATGAGAAGAGGGAATGAGCCATAAGCTTAAACTGAGGGTAGTTACTGCAGTCAAAAACAAGATTTAGCTCTGTGCTTCCCGGCAGGCAGCAAGGTAACATTTGTACCCACTGTACTGTGGTGACAAAGAACCTAGACCACCAGTATGCCCCATGATCACCCATCATTCTCTGGTGACCTTTTTCATGTGTTTTTGGCATTCTTTGTTTGTTTGTTTGTTTGTTTTTTGTTTTGTTTTGTTTTTCGAGACAGGGTTTCTCTGTGTAGCCCTGGCTGTCCTGGAACTCACTCTGTAGACCTGGCTGGCCTCAAACTGAGAAATCTACCTGCCTCTGCCTCCCAAGTGCTGGGATTAAAGGCATGTACCACCACCACCCAGCATTTTTGGCATTCTTGTATATTTGTTTAATGCTGTCATTTGGATCTTGAGCCCCACATGATGCTGGGTTGGTCCCCAGCCTGCAGTACTATGGACATGTATGTGTGTAGAAACTTTAAGAGGCTAGGTCATTTGGGGGTCATGTTTTTTTTTAACATGCATGTAGTATGTGTTCATGTGCACCAAAGTTACACATGTGCAGGGCATGCATATGCATGTGTGTGTGTTTAGGTCATAGGATAACTTTGGGTATCACCTTCAGGAATGGTGTCCTCTTCCTTTGAGATAGGGTCTTTCGTTGGCCAGTGACCTGAGGGATCCTTTCTTCTATCTCTACCTCAGTACTGGAATGATAAGTGCATGCCACCATGCTGGACATTTTTATGTGGCTGCTGGAAGTCAAACTCTATAAGGTCTTTGTACTTTTAAGATCAAACTCGAGGCTTTGTGCATTACTGAGGAGCCATCCCTAGTCCCTGGTTCTTAGAGGCGGGTAGAACTGTGGTCTCTAGTTCCTTTCTCTGCTTCCAGCTGTGCTAAGAAGCCTTCTCTGATGCATCATTCCTGCCATGATGTGATGCTTTGCCGTGCACCCAGTGACCATGGATGGATGGAAACCTGTGAAACCAAGAGCCAAGATACCTTTCTTCTTCATATGTTGATTAGCTCAGATGTATTGTCATAATAATGGAAAGCTAGCACAGCCAGTTGGTGTGCAGAATTGACCTTGTATTGCATCTTATTCATATGATAATGTTAGAAGAAAAGCCAAGAGTTTTGGGGTACCTACTCTGTGCCACTCCTTGACAACTGCCCCTTTCTGTGACATACTTGGAGGATGAACAGGTGCTGAGGAGTGCAGCCAAACACAGTCCAGTTATCCCAGAGTCCCATGGCCACTGGCACCAGCACAGCGCACTCACCAGGGGACAGAGCTAAGGGGAAATGTCCCAGAACAAAGAACCAGGCTGGAGGATCAACTTGCCAAGATGGCATTTCAGAGCCAGGTAAACACCTTCAGATGTACATGAAGAAGGCACTGTCAATCCTGGCTCCTTGCTAAGGAAGGTGACATGCCGGTGACATTTAATTGGAGCCAAGATTATACCCAAGGATCAATGGACTAAATTCCTGTGTTGTCTCCATATTATGGGACAGAGGGTGGGGGTAGAAACCATGGCTGGGGACAAGCAAGCAGAAGGGAGCCAAGCTTAGGGTAGGTGCGTATGGGGTGAGGTCCATTTGTTAGGTGAGGTACCTTTGAATGGTAGTTGAGAGAAAACTCTGATGCACATGTGGCCCAGGGCCCTGATGGAGTATTCATTTTGGATGGGCAGATGTAAACGACACTCAGTCCAAGAGGCGCAGTAGTATACAAGAGTCCGCCAGGCAGGTGGGGATGGGCTCAGGTCTTAGGATACCAGGCAGGGTCAAGCCCACTGGAGAGCCACCACACGACACTTGGATTGGCCAGAGGCTTGAAAGAGGGGGATGGCAGCATTGGTGTGGGCCATGTTCATGGCTTGACCTCAGTAGGTCTAACCCAAGTATTACATTGCAACGACTAAAAAGTGAGATTAAACAAGTGCGTGGTTTCAGATAACACTCAGGGTAGAAACTGGCAAGCCCTGTCTCAGAACAGGCATTGTCTGGGCAGGCTAAGCCACCCATGCTTGGCATCATCCACCTGCATAGGCAGTGGCCAGGTTAAAAAAAAAATCAGCTGCAGTGGGAGGGAGAAGCATAAACTTTACAGTGGGAATACCCTGACTTAGAACCTGGTTCTGTGACCCGAAGAACATTATTCTGTCTCTGAGCTTCTGCAGTCCCTTTTAAAATACTGTCAGGCTCTCACATTCAGTTAAGAAACAAGTGAGAAGTGCGCCTAAATTTGGTAAATGTTAGTATCGATGTCATTGTCAATGAGGGTTAATGTAGCAAGATATAAAAATAATGTATAAGAGTTCTGGTAGCCGGGTAGTGGTGGTGCACGCCTTTAATCCCAGCACTTGGGAGGCAGAGACAGGTGGATTTCTGAGTTCAAGGCCAACCTAGTCTACAGAGTGAGTTCCAGGACAGCCAGGGCTATACAGAGAAACCCTGTCTCAAACAAACAAACAAACAAACAAACAGTTCTGGTAACTAGTCTAAACTCTAGGCATTGCTATGTTCTGTGCCTTGTGAGGTCTTCATCCCCCTGAGTTAACCATGGCCCATATCACCGTGTGCTGAGGATTTCAATGTAGGAGTTGGGCAGGGACTGAGATGTTCAGTTCCTCAGATGATGCCCCATTTCCCACGGACTGTGATAGTGGTCACGAGTGCAGATCATGACTTTCAGGACCCACAGTTCATGCCTGCACAGAGGGGGCCTCCTCCTCCCTACTCCTCTTGGCCACTTCCTTTAAGCCACTTGATCTAACTACCAAATTCACCAGAAGCCTTGGCTTGGGTTCTATGATGCCTCTTACCATAGGGTCCTGAGGCCCACAGTTAGCCCAGGAGGTAGGAAGGCTTTTCATGTGCCTTTGGGAACACAAGGCAAGACCAAGAAGCTATTAGCCAAAGAAATCACAGTTTCACAAAATGCACACAGCTATGTTTGGGCTACTTTAATTCCACCCAATTTGGGGCTAGTTGTTTGAATCTCTACCTTGAAAACAAGAAACTGAAGCGAGTGGCCAGTCTCGGGTCACATAGGAGATTCCTGCTAAGGCTGATGCTGGCTGTCTCTTTCCACAGCTACCTAGCATCTAGTGATGAGGCAACAGCCAGCTTGGCTACAGGAGGCTGCTTTGAGACAGAGGCTCATTGGCTTAGGAAAATCTGCTAGGTTCATGGTTCAGAGGGCCTAGGGACCTGGCCAAAGAGGCACAGAAAAAAGAAGCAGCCTTCTAGGACTCTCATACTGTTTAATGCTTCCTCCTTGATGGTTACGACTGGCTCTTGAGAGTCCAAACAACATCATATTTGCAAAGTGACCTCAGAGCTTTGCACCCACCTACCTTTGAGATGGCTAGCTTACCTGCCTCCACCACACACACACACACACACACACACACACACACACACACATCATACGCACACACGTTAGAGACGAATGACTCAGCCAAGAACATTTGGCTCCAAAGTACTGTTGAATCAGAGAGACAATAATAGACTTTGGGTCAGAGGAGAGGTCACAAGGAAGGGCAATAAGGCTGCAGGACACATCAGTCCATATTTTATCAGCCCTACACCCTGTCTCCCTTGTCACCACTGTGGGAGGCTGTTGAGATACGCACTTCAGATGCTCAGTCAGGCAACTTAGTGAGGCAGGCCAAATTGGAATGTAGACCTTCCTGCCTGCACATCCCACACAGTTTCTGTGACCCTTTGCTTCTGGGTTCACTTGCACCCCTTAAAATGTAAGTCCTTCCTGAAGCCTTACCATGTGGTACTCATTTGGGAATAAAATATGAACTAATATAATTAACTAAGAAGAAGACATAGTAGAACAGCAGGAGCCCCACAACCTTTTAGGAAGATGAGACATAGAGACAGACAACAGGAGATGACCTTGAGAATACAGGCCGGGGAAAACACCATGTTAGTGAACAGGGGGAAAGAGACCAGAGTGTTGCATCCTCAAGAGAAGGTCACAGTGATAAGCACTGCCATTGCCACCAGAGCCTTCAGAAACTGCATATCCCTGCCACCATCTTAACCTTGGGACCTCCGGCTTCCATTTCTGTGAGACAACAGATCCCTGTTGTTTGAGGCCATTCAGTGTGCGGTCGCCCTAGCAAACGAGTGTGCCTCCTCACACGGTGCAGAAGGAGGAGTGACTCCCAGGGCTGGGCTTTAGGGTGAACACATAGCAAAGGAGAAAGGTGAGGGGTAGGAACATGTGTCTGGCGTTTAACCCATGGCGGGCTCTAGGTTTGGCTTTTATTTTATTTTTGAGGTTGTGATTCATATAGTCCAGGCTGGCCTCAAATCCTCCATGTAGTTGGAATGGTCTTGAACTTCTGATCCTCCTGCTTCTACCCCTCTAGTGCTGAGATTACAAATGTGCCCCACCATGTGTTGTCTATGACATGCTATAGACGAAGCCTAGGGCTTTGTGCCTCCTGGTCAAGCAGTTTACCAACTATGCTCCATCTCTACATTCTGGCTGGGTGTCTTGATCATACCCCAGTTAAGGACAGTCATTCTTATTGCACAATAAGGAAACAGAGGCTCATTTCCCATACAAGAAGCATACCTTATGCACCACAAGAAACCGACCCAAGGCTTGGGAGGTGGCTGAGTGACTAAAAGTGTGAGGATCTGTGTTTGAATCCTCAGAACCCATGTGAGATGTGTCTGCAACCCCAATGCTCCTAGGCTAGTTGGGAAGAAGAGATGGGAGAATCCCTGGGAGCTCACAAGCCAGCAGGTCTGGCATACTCATCCTTGAGCAAGCAAAAAAAGACTATCCCTCTAGATGGAAGGCAAGTACTGACACCAGAAATTGTCTTCAGATCTTCATACACATGCATGCATAGCCTTCACATGCCCGCTCACACACACTCACACACACACACACACACACACACAGAGAGAGAGAGAGAGAGAGAGAGAGAGAGAGAGAGAGCAATCCCTGACTACGGTTTGAGTCTCAGGCAGGAGTCTCACTTTCCTTCTCTGAACCTCTTCCCTCATTCAGACAGTAGAAATAAACATACCTGCCTCTCGGATACTTGTAAGAACAGTGTGAGCTCATGCTTCCATTTGCCCCGAACTTCTTCTCATTGTCAGCCTCTCCTCGAGGCCCTGAGGACAGAGCTGTGAACAGGATGGGCCAAGTTCTTGTCCACAAGGAGTTAGATTCTCAGTCAGGAGTTCCGCAGAGGCTGGCACTCAGTGAGTACTGAGTGGAACTGAGGGCATAAGAAGGCAGGATGGAAAGGGATCGCGTGTTCCGGTAAGAAGGACTCACTCTGGCATTGATTCTCTATCCCTGTTGGTGGGTGGACAGTTCTCTGGCCAGAAGAGAACATCAGGTTCTTTGGGCCTGGTCCCATGTTCTCGGGAACTCTCCGTGGCTACTTGGGCTGCTTTCCTGACGAAGGGAACCCTGTGCCCCTGCAATGGTTTGTGGAAGCAATTGAAGTGGCCTTAGATCTTCTAAAGGGGCCCCCCATGCTAGTGGGTCCCTTCAGCCTTGCCTCTTCAGCTCAGCCCCACCCACTTCCGGGCACTGTCCCAGCCTGGGCCAGGCATGAGCCTACCCTGGAGGTTCTCCCAGCTGTCCTGATGTCCCCTCTGCCTTCTATAGACACGCCCCCTTCCAACCTGGAGGCCTACTCTAGACACCAGTCCCTCCCCTTCTTCCAGAGGTGTCCCCAGACATCACCCCTGTGCTATTCTTTTCCCCTGCCACTGTGGCATCAAATATCAAACAGGCTCTGCTGGACATCAGGAAGGTGGTTTTTTTTTTTCATTTGTTTGTTTTATGTGATAACCATGGCTTAGGGGAGGGTTCTCTTGAGAATCCTAGGAGGGCCAGATGGGTTTTGCCATGGTCTAGCTCAATCCAAGTAAAACCCATTCGTCTTTGAACCCATGGAGGGGAGGTGGACTCACTGCTTTGACAGGGTGAGAAAGATGAAGATCAGGATTTCCTGGCAGGGTGGGTGCAGGTAGCAGCAGCCAATCCCGAATTCTGACTGCCTTCCAGGTGGGCTCTGAAAGAGGAGTCCTGGAGTACAGAGCAGCTACACACAACAGAACTCAGAGAAGCCACCTTCTTGTCCTTACTTGCCCCTGAGTGAGGCTGGGAAGCTGGCACAGAGCAGTGGGACACCAGCTCTGGAGGGCCTTGACAGCTCAGCAGTGGCGGCAGGGGCTATTCTGAGAGCTGGGAGGGGCTGAGACAGGAGGGGAAGCAGTTCATGAGGGCCAGGATGGGGGTGATCACTGAGGTGGATGCATTGGGAAAGTGTGTGATATATGCTTAGTGTGGGGAGAGGTGGACCGGCTGAACCACTGAGGAGTTTGCTGGCCCTGATCGTACAAGCATTAAAGAGTTGTATGGGCAAGCCCACAGTGCAAGTGATCAAGTGTGTGTGCATCAATGTGCACGTGTACGTCCTTGCTGAGGAAGGTGTGAAAGCAAGTGTGCCTGTGTGGTGGAGGAGGCGGAGAAAGGTAAACAGATAGGAGCTTGTCAGGGAGCTGAATGGATGTGGGAGTGGGTCGCAGTGAGAGGACACTGAGCTGAAGAACTTGCGTGGGGGAGGGGAGGGAGGAGCCGGTGGTTAAGACAACCATGGGAAGATAAGGATTATGTAACCAGACTTTGAGTATAGGGCATTGGGTAAGCGTGCACACAAGGGAGCCAGTGAGTGTGAGTGGAGGTGTGTGCTCATCATATGAGCCATGGAGACTTTGTGAGCTAGGAAAAATACACACGCACAATAGGAATCATCTCTGGACTGATTCTGAGCCTGATACTATTATTGAGTTTTATTTCATACTTCAAGTGTCCTGTGAATGCAGCGCCATGGTGATACCTGCCAACAGGGTAGAAAACCGGGGCGTCCAGCAGCGAAATGACTTGCCGTACTCCTGTGAATCGTGGTCAGACTGCTTCCTGATGAGTGTGTAAGCAGGGGTCAGCCTGTGAGTGAACAAGAAAGTCAGTCTGCCCTAGTGAGTGTGTTAGGGAGCTGACCTCGCCAGACATAAGCCCCAGAGGAGAGGCCAGGCAGCAGCTGTGGCCACTAGGCAGGCAGGGGCAGAGCAGATCCTGAGTCAGCCTCTGGGCATTTCTGCCAACCTGGCTTCCCAGCCCTGCAGTGACAGCTTGTGCCAGAACCCCCAGCTAAGTTTCATCCAGCCATGGTATGGTCCCCAGCAAGCTCTCATGTCACACTAAGAGCCAGGCCTGACCTCAAGGATGGCAGGAAGCTAGCCTCCAGGGAACTCAAGAAGCAGAGTCAATGTTGACTCCCCAGGCAAGAAGGGCATCTGTGAACTATGGGAAGGGACCAGTGATTTCAGCCCAGGATGGTTCTAAACAGAACCACCTGGAGCATGTGTATGTAAGGGGTAGCACATAGTTCCAATACCCACCCTTGCCTTTGGGATGTGACTCAGGCTGATGTCAATCATCTGCAAGATGGGCTTGCTCCAACCCCTACCCCCTGGGAGGGCTCCAGCCTGTCAATCAAAGCCCTACCTACCTTCACTTACTTTCATCCTCTCCCTGGGCTTCAATCTGAGGAAAGGAAGTTTTTAGAGAGGAGGCTGTTCCCTTGGTGAGAACACAGCTCTTCTGCGGCCCAGAGAATTCCACCTCTCTAGTCCCTTCAGGAACCAGGTACTGGCCAGGAGGGGGTTAAAACTTGGAATTCTAGTGCTGGCCATGCTAATTTTGGTAGGTTGCTTCCCCCACTCTGGGCCTCAGTTTCCTGATTGGCAAAACAAGATACTGTGGCAAAGGGACATGAAGGTTTGCTGGCAGGGCAGCAAGCATCTGGGCAAGCAGGGAATAGTCAGGCATGTGAGGGAGTTTGAGTTAGAAGAAGTGCCAGGATTAGATTGATGTTTAAGCTGAGTTTTGGTGGAGGCCTTGCGGATGGGAATGTTTGTAGGCATACGGCATAGCCTGAGCAAAGGCTGGCAGATGGAGTGGTGACTGGAGACTTAGCCTCCCGTACCCTCTGGGATGAGGTAATGGACTGCATAACCTCTCAGGAGCTGCTCCCTGTGAGGTCACGTGATGATGGGATTAACATCTGAGTCCTCTACTAGTCTATACAGTAGGGACCTCATTTGTCTCCATTTGCTGCTCTTGCCATAGGACCCTGAAAGGAGACAGGAACAATGAAGATGTTCAATATATACCTATTAAATGAGTGAGTTCCTCCCCAACCATTCTCAACTTTGGGGGCAAGCACTTGTTCCAACAGCCCCTTTGAGAACCTCCCACAGACTGCAAGACAGTGGCTCATAAAGTGGGGTCCCTATGGCCTGTGAGCTTGCTAGAAATGTGAAGTCTCCACCCCAACACAGACCTGCCTCCAGACACTCGAGGGTCGGGGTTCAGGAATCTGTTTTAATACTCTGCAGGATAAAACCTGCCACACGTTGAACTTTGAGAACCAATGCTCTAAAATTGTGCTGGCAACGAAACCCCATTTGCACAGAGAACAGGTAGGGTGGTGGCAACGCCTGGCCTACAATCATCAAACCATTCTTTTTCCCTAGACCGGTCCATGGCACAAAGAAGGGAGGAGAGTTAGAGCAAGCCTTGGTCTGGCTGTTGGAAGGAAGACTTGGAAACGTCAAGGGTCTAGAAGAAGAGGGCGGGGCAATTCTGGGGATGGTAGAAGCGGGGAGGGACCAGTGTTCTGAGCCCCGCCCCATTTCTGTTGCCCCGGGAAACCCCGGGTTGTAACAATAACCTGCTGACGCGCTCCTGGGAGGAATCCTTTGAAGGTTGTGGGCGGGGCAGCCCCGCTGTGCACCAATGGGAGCATTCGGGATCCGCCCCCAAGTTGCCCTCCCCGAGCCCGGCAGGGGGCGGGGCCGCGCCAGACTTTTCTCGCCTGGTCCCTAGGGGGCGCTGTGGCGTGCGGGGCTTCGGCGGGGTCGCCCTTAGCGGGAGCTCCACGCCCCCCACAGTCTGCAGGCGGGGCACCCAGTCAGCTAGGATTCCACGGCCCCGGGCGAGCACGCCCCGCCTCCTTTTGCTCCGGGCCCGCCCCGTCTCCGTCCCCCGCCCATCCCGAGGTGCAGCCGGCGCTGAGCGCGGCAGGCGCGGGAGCTGGCGCTGGAGCCGGAGCGGCGGCGGCGGCGGCATTCACCGGGCGGCGGCGGCGCGGGCTCTGGCACGGGCTCGGGCTCCGGCATGGTGCAAGCCAGCCTCGTCCCGGGAGAGCGGGGCCCGCGCGCGGGACCGGCGCCCGCGGAGCGGCGGCAGCGGCGGTGGCGGTGGTGGCTGCGGGCACAGACAGGCGGCAGGTGCTAGAAGCCGGGCTGGGCGAGGTGTGTGCCCGCTGGGCTCCCGGGCCGCCGCCCCCTCACTGCCTGGGTCTTTGCTTCCCTCCGTGCTCGCCAGTTCGTCTAGCCCCCTGCCTCCGCGCCCCGGCCCATGGCGCCCCGCGGTTGAGCCGGCGCCGCCAGGGACCCCTCCCGCGGGCCTCCCCGGGGCGCGCAGATCCCAGAGCCGCGCGCCCACCCTCCGCGGAGCCTCCCTCCCTGCCTCGCCCGAGCCGGGCGGGACCATGGCTGCGAAGCTGCGAGCGCATCAGGTGGACGTGGACCCGGACTTCGCGCCGCAGAGCCGGCCGCGCTCGTGTACCTGGCCTCTGCCGCAGCCGGACTTGGCCGGCGACGAGGACGGGGCGCTGGGCGCAGGAGTGGCCGAGGGCTCTGAGGACTGCGGGCCGGAACGCAGGGCGACGGCCCCAGCGATGGCCCCAGCTCCGCCGCTGGGCGCGGAGGTCGGACCGTTGCGGAAAGCGAAGAGCTCCCGACGGAACGCGTGGGGGAACCTTTCCTACGCCGACCTCATCACCAAAGCCATCGAGAGCGCCCCGGACAAGAGACTCACGCTCTCGCAGATCTACGACTGGATGGTCCGCTACGTGCCCTACTTCAAGGATAAAGGCGACAGCAACAGCTCGGCCGGCTGGAAGGTGGGGCATCCGGGCTCCGGGCAGGCTACAGGGAGGGGGGCTCTGGAACACCCCTAGGGGTCATGGAGTGCGCGCCCAGGGAGTGGGGCAGGTCGGTTGACAGGCAGGGGCGTGCTGGCAGCAGCTGTGTTCATTCACGTCCCCTAGGAAGGATGCGCGGGATTGGAGGTCTGGTAGGGTGACAAGGGATACCTTTTTGAGGCATCCCGGAGGAATATCCCTGGTCTGTCATTGAGGGTATAGTAGCATAACTCATTTCCAGGCCACGGACAGTAGGGAGCTCCCTTTGTTTTGTGTGACTTGTTTTACCCTCTCCAAAAGGGTACCTGCTTTAAAGAGCTGGAGTCATGACCCAGGGCTCCTGTCTGCTTTCCACTCTCAAATCTCCCCTGCCCTTCCTGAAGCCCGCCCCATGGTGAAGAGTGCTAACTGATCATGGGCCCGCAGTTCTTTCTGTAGTGTCGAGAGTTCATCCTGGAACACCTACTAGTCGGGGTGAAAAGCATGGCAGGTCACCCGAGATGAGTTTTTCATGGGGCAGGTGTTGTCAGCCGCTTCCCTGGTACAGCATGGGGTGGGGGAGGTGCTTAAAGCTCCCTGCTGGTACTTGTGGGAAGGGTGTTGAGGTCTGGGGGTCTATTTCTACCCACTCTAGGCAACTTCTCTCCCACCTCCCTGGCTTTCTGGGCCCAGACGCACTTAAGGTGTGGGGCGCCCCTAGAGAGTCCTCAGTGGCAGGCACCGGAAAGGGGAGAGCCATCTTGGGAGAAGACTTGGATGGGGACTTCACTGGATTGTAGATTCTGTTCAGCTCCTCCTCTGGCCATCTTGTTGGGAAATGAGGCTAGCCTATGCATTTGAGGGTGAGGAGGCTTGAGGGGACCTCTTGTGGGAGAGGTAGTCACTATGAGGAAGACATGCCTGTGTTCAGAGATGAGGGTGTTCGGGTGTTGATTGGCAGCAAAATCTGAGGAGAGTAACAGGGGCCATGGCCATGGGCAGATCTAGATGCACTTGGGTGCACTGTCCTGATCTGGGAGCCCACAGCTCTTGGAATACCTGTATGCTGGCATCTTCTTTGGCTCTCCGTGACCATTATGGGGCAGGAACACAGGTCGTAGAAGTAGACCTGAGTCCATTTTCCAGTCCTCTGCAGCTCAGTCCCCACCAGAACACAACTTTCTGTCAAGTGTCCTGCCCTTGGGCTTTCTCTACTTCTTGTTTGCTGAGTCCACCTTCCACTCCTTCCTGGAGATGGAGTCACTATCCTCAGGGGCACAGAATCCCAATGCCTCCTCCAGGAAGCCTTCCCCAACACTTGTTAGCTAGCTCAGGACTCCCCACCACCACCACCCTGCTTTTTTTCCTGGCCCTAAGGCATTCATCCTGAGTCAATCATGTGTGTCCTGCTTCCCGCTCCCTCCCTCCTTTACCTTCGAAAGACAGTCAGTGTTAGGACTGTTCTGCCCCTATGGCACCTTACATAGAGTATGGCCCAAGAAGCCATCAACGTATGTGCATTGAAAGTAAAGAGATGGGTGGATGGTAAAGAGGCTGTGGATTGGCAAAGAGTACCAGGACCAGAGCAGATCAGGAAGGCTTCCTGTAAGAGGCAGAGCTCCAGCAGGTTTAGATAGATGATGGAGACTAGGGAAAGATGGAAAGCAGAGATTTGAAGCCAGAAGCCTGGAGACAGCTGCAGTTCTGAGCAAGCATGTTGGGCTGAGCTCTGTGCCAGGCTCTTCCCGTATCCTTAAAGCTCTCAGTAGTCCCTGAGCTGGGTTTTACTATAACCATTTATAGGGGAGGTCTCTGAGGCCCAGAGCACAAGAGTCAGTTAACTGCCTAAGGTCCCACTCCAACTCAGGTGTCACCCACCTTTCCAGGTCCCACCAAGCCTTTGGGACATGCCTTGCTGGCCCCTGTGAGGGCGAGCTGCAGCTGGCTTTGAGCAGAGGCAGACATAAACCTTAGGCTATGATGGCGGTGCGCTTGGAGATAATTGAGCCCCATGAGTTCATTTCTCAAACTGTGAGACTGAGGCCTTGGGAGGTAATAGGACTCTCTCCTGAGAGTGTCAGAAAGCAGCAAGCCCTGGACAAGGGCCCAAGTCTCCTGTCTGCCCATTGACTGCAGTTCCCACTGCACCACACTGTTAGGGTCACGCTGGTCCTCCCTGTACCTCACTCCCAGTCCTGAACTGGGGCACTGGGTGAGCAGCCCCAAGCTTGGACTCTTGCTCTTGGTCCTAGCAAAAAACCACCCAGACACCGGAGGGGATCTAATTCAACCTGTCTCCTCAGTGGATGTCCCCTGTTACCCTCCTGTGCCTTCCCACAGGGTGCCTCCATTCTCTCTCCTTCCTGGAACTTCCTTCCCTTGGACCCCTTCTGACACTCCCAGTCAATTCCTTCAGAAGCCTGGAGGAGGAGCTAACTCCAGCTCTCAATCTCAGCCTGACCAAGACTGGGAACACCTCAGGTGCCAGGACCGGGCATCCATTATTCCTTCATCCGTTTCATCCCCCACAAAAGTGTTGCCCTTGAAATCCTGAGTGATACCAAATCTCAATTCCATGAGGGCCGAGGTGTGCTATGACTCCTTAAGGGGATCTAAGTTCTTGGCCCCACCTTCAGGATGCATTGCTCTGAGCAGCTTCCCCATTCACACCCTGTGTTTTGAGACAGGAAGGGCTGGTAGGTGGGGCAAGGGGCTGGGGAAAGTGGATTTCATATTCTAGAGAGTCTGATTTCTCCCATGGAGGGAGTGGCACTTGAACTGGGGTCTGTTCTTGGTTAGGGACAATTAGGGAGATAGTTTTTTGTGATGGAGTAAAGGGACTGCATGTTCAAAGGCAGAGAGGAGGAACTGTGCCTGCTGGATCTGGGGTGCTTGCAGTTGCAAACTAGAACCTAGGGCTCTTGGGCTGGCAGGAAGTGGTCACCTTCAGAAAGGGGAGAGAAAGGCTGATGTATTGGGGTCATCGCCCTGAAGTTCCATCTGTGGTGAGAAGAGGGGATCCCAGAGCTGCTGAGGACAGCAACAGGCTCAGGCCACCCAAATCAGACAAGAGGCTTGGAGACTTAGGGCTACCTGTGGTTGTACCATAAGGGCTAGTCCCATTCCCCTGGGGACAGGGGGTATCAAGCCTGGGCTCAGGGCTTGGCTGGGAGTGTAGTGGCCCAAGAACTGTGGCTCCCACAGTGGACCTTCCTATTCCCTCTCAGCTCCTCCGTAAGCCCCATGTTCCTTTGGCTTTGGCCTCTTACGGGAAGCCTTCCTGGCTGCACTATCCTGCTGTTCCTTCCACTGAACGCCTCTGGAGTTGTTCAACTCCTTTTGTGTTTCCTGGCTGCCAGTCCTTGGGGAGCTCCCAGACCAGGCCTGGGCGCCTCCCATTTCTGTCCCTAGGCCCAGAGGGGTGGAGCCCAGTGGATGGGGACTTCCCCTCTCCCTCAAGGGCTGGAGCAGCTTAGCTACTGAGGGGTGGGATCAGAGCGGGTGCTAGCCCCATCTGGCCCAGGCCTGGCCCTGTAAGTTCCAGGTGGGGAGGGGGCTTGAAAGAGGGGCTGATTCCAGAGGCCAGAAGCAGGGTCCTGCACTTGGCTCTGAACAGTAGTTGGGAGAGTAGCGCCCCCCCCCCAGCCCGCTCCACCAGAGTGCCTTCCCCCTCCTTTGTCCTCGGGGATCCCCAATCCCAAGAGCTTGTGGGGGTGCAGGAGGAGGCGGTGTGAGCCCCGATTGGGGGGGTGTCCTCACCCCCCTCACTGCACGAGCGAGGGGCTGGCAGCTGCCCGCCTCCTGGGCACGAGCCCGTGCCAGCCGCTCCTGGCACAGTTGCTGGCACGCCCGGCAGACTCCCACGGCCACCTGCTCACACCCACCCACGAGCGCTGGCGCGCTGCGGGCCCTTCCGGCTTCCCGGGCCTCCCAGCGCCCCTCCCCCGACAGCGTGCCCCGAGCCCCCTCCCCAATTCTCGGCTTCCCTAGGCCGGCCCTATGAGACCCAGGCCCCCACCCTGCACAGGTTGGGGAGCTCTCGAGGAGGGGCTGCTGGGGGCCTCCAGGGTTGCGTCGCCGCGGGGGAAAGGGGGGCTGAGAGGCAGCAGACAGACCGACAGACAGGGTGAGGGCCCCGCCTGCCACCTGGCGCCGCTCCAGCGGGACGATGGCGGGCAGCGCCGTGCCAGGCGGTAATTGCAGACAGACTAATTTAAAGAGATGAGACGGTTATTTTTAACTCGCGTTAAGGTAATGAACGGCGCGGGGGGTTTGTGGGTTCGAAAGTTCAGCGCCCTCCAGCCCCCACTTAATACGAGTGGGGGGCTCTCTCCAGACCTTGAGGGCTCCACCTTTGGACTTACTCAGGTGCAGTGTTGAGGGGAACTGAGATGCAGGGAGACCCTGCCTGAGGACAGGGCTAGTGAATGCACCAAGCACATGTCCCACCAGATTCTCACCACTGCCCTCTTTCCAGATGGAGAAGTGACTTGCCTTGAGGTCGCATACCTAGTACCAGCCCTAAGTGGTAGAAGAACCCAATTCTAAACCCTTAAACTCCAGCATTTTCTGTACCACTGGGTAGGACTGGGGGTTCCTTAGTTGTTGTTTGGAAGGGTTTGGGTTTGGATTTGGAAAGAGTTGGGGCTCCTTCATGCAACCCACCTTCTTCTGTGTTTGAGTGACAGCTGATGATAGCCGTCACCTGAGGTTTAGGGTTTGTCTTGGCCTTGCTAGGGCTGAGGGGTCAGGAACTGTGAGCAACAGTGAGCCTCTAAGCGGAGCTTCCCTGATATCTCAGCAGACTCACCAGCCCTCCCTACACCTGCATTGTGCCTGCCTCCCACTTGGAGCTGAACAACTGGGGAAAAGTGGGGTATGTGACTGACACCTCCCCATTAGAGCCCCCTCTACCCTCAGGCCAGACTTTGGGTCACCAAAGAAGTCGAAGGGTCTGATGCTGGGTGCCAGCCTCCCATAGTCCCCGCTGACACATTTCT